GATAGATAGATAGATAGATAGATAGATAGATAGATAGATAGATAGATTCTGAGCTGGATCTCTTTTCGGGAATGAACATGAAGTTTGAGAGGCTGGAATTCCCAAATTTGGGTGAGGATTGTCCGGGAATGTGGCCCTCCCTCATTGGAAGGAGCTGTTTTCTAAGGCAGAAGCCCCTGAAACAAAGACACATTTGAATTCAGGTAGTCCTCGACTTACAACAGTTCATTTCGTGATTAAAGTTGCAGCGGCCCTGAAAAAAAGTGACTTAGGACCATATTTCACACTTACGACCGTGGGGGATCATCCCGGCGGTTATGCGATTTACATTCGGATGCTTGATGACTGTTTCATATTTCTGACGGTTGCAGTGTGTGTGTGTGTGTGTGTGTGTGTGTGTGTGTGTGTGTGTGTCTGGAGGGTTAAATCGTGTGATCTTCTTTTGCGACCTACCGACAAGCAAAGTCAACCAGATACGTTTAACAACCATTTTGTCACTTTAACCATTTACTAACTTAGCCGCAGGGATTCACTTAACAAATAGGTGGCCAGGAAAAATATTAAAAAATGGGGCAAAACTCAAGGGATTGCCCACTTAGCAACATCCATTCTGGCCTCCACTGTGGTCGTAAGTCAAGGACTACCTGCAGCCAGCAAGCGTGCTTCCAGACTCTAGATTTTTTGGGGGAGGGGGGGGGCACACCATCCCCTAATGAGGGATCAAGTTAGCATCTTAACGTCTGTGTGAAGGATCCCTGGAAAGAGGAGATTGTTGTCAGCTCCAGAGTTGAGGCTGCCCATCTCTTGCTCCCACCCAGGAGTGGGCTTCAAAAATTTTAGCAACGGGTTCTCTGTCCGGTTGCTGGGTGGGCGTGGCCATGGTGGGCGTGGCCTAGTCAGCCTCCTGCACCATGGCAGGGGGTGGGGCTTTTTTGCCCTCCCCGGGCTCTGGAGGCTTTACTCGAGCCTCTGGGAGGGCTAAAATGGCCTTCCTGGGCTCCGGAGGCTCTCTGGAAGCTGGAAATGGGCCCATTTCCGGCCTTCCTGAACTTCCAAGAGGTCCACTTTTCGCCCTTCCCGAGCCTCCACATGTGCCCTGCACTTACCTGCATCCAAAACAGGCTTCGTGAGGACTCTTGCGAGGGGAGGGGTCAGGGTGGGCGGGGCCAGACATGAGTGGGATTTGGGGATTCTCTGAACTGCACAGACTCTCAGCTAGGGGCTCCCCCAAACCCCCAGCAGCCCATCTCTTGCTCCCACCCCAAAAAGGGGGACTTCTCCCCCCCAAAAATAGTTCCTTTTTATTTTTATTTTAAAGTTCTGAGGCAGGGGTCTTCAAACTTGACAGCTTTAAAGACTTGTGGACTTCAACTCCCAGAATCCCTCCTCCTGTCATGTTAGCTCAGGAATTCTGGGAGCTGAAGTCCACAAGCTTTAAACTGGCCAAGTTTGAAGACCCTTGTCTTAGGCCGAAAATCTTAGGTGCTATAGCAGAGGTCTCCAAACTTGGCAGCTTTTTAAGACGTGTGGACTTCAACTCCCAGAATCCCCCCTCCAGTCATGGTTAGCTCAGGAATTCTGGGAGTTGAAGTCCACACGTCTTAAACTTGTCACCTTTGAAGACCTTTGTTCTTAGGTATCATTGTGAGATCGGCCAAGAGGCCACTGAGGACAGTCCCCAAGGCCGATGAACCCAGCTGGAATTCCAGACACCTTTTTACTCTCCAGGCTGCTGTTTAGCTGCCTGGCTATCATTCCAAGGTGTGATTAATGCTTTTCTCTGAGGGAGAGAAAGGCTTCCTCTCACAGCCTCCCAAGAAAGGGGATATTTGCCTTTCCCATTTCCTCCAGAGGCTCCTTTGAAATTAATTTTCAGTGCTTGGTTCCATTTTCTTGGCCCAACCTGTGAGTCAAGGTTGAAAGGAAAGTGAATGGTGGATGCTTTCTCACCCCTTTGGTGGTTGATGGTTTCTCCCACCTCATCTCCCCCCCCCCCCCCAAGCACTTAAACCACATTCTGAAGGCATCAGTGAGTCAAGTGAACATAGGAATTTGGTTGACCTGGATTTAAAGTTCATCATGATATCTGAACCCATCCATGTGTTTTTAAATCATCCAGGTTTCTTCTCTGATTCTTTTATTTGCACTTCATGTGTACAATTAATTGAAGTTCTGGCAATTCTCCCTAATTTTGTCATAGTTTGCTTTCTCCAAAAAATAATGTAAAATAATTTGTACTTGGCTGTTACTGGAGTATTTTTGCTCCAGATAAGACTTTTCCATTACAAGTTTTAAAGCACACGTATCAAATGCATCCAATATAATTGTGTCACTGTCATTTTCTGTCGTTCTATCATGATGACCTTTTATTTTGATTATCCTTTTCATTTTTATTCTGATTTTATTGTGTAATTTCGGTAAGCTATTTGGTTTCAGGCAATCAGATAAATTTTAGATTAAAGTTGATTTTACCTAAGCATCGAGAAAACAATAAAACATGGAAGACTATAAGTGGGTCTAAATGATATCCCTTCTGTTAATTTAAGTAAGGATAAGTTTAAAACCTTCTAGGTTCAAGAAATCTTTTGAATAAAACTTAAAAATACCTCTAGTATTTGTTGGTAACTGGAAATTATTTATTTTATTTTATTTATTAGAATTTGTCATACAAAGACAAGAACAAGAATAACAGAATAAAAATACAATGACAGGGACAATAGAGGCATCTTAGTGCACTTATGCACACCCCCTCTACTCACCACTTAAGTATGATGTAAGGTCCACGGAAGTCAATTTGTGACTGAAACTGTGAAAATTTGTAGCTGAAACAACTGAATCAGGTAGGGCATTCCAGACTGACAACTCGATGACAGCGTATTTTTTACAATCAAGTTTAGAATAATTTATATTGAGTTTAAAGCAATTGTTAGTGCGCGTATTATTGCGATTAAAACAAAACAAAAAAGACATTGGTTGACCTGGATTTAAAGTTCATCATGATATCTGAACCATACGTAGTAAAACATTACTGCATATACTTTTTTATGCAATATAAGCGACGCAGTTCTAAGTTACCCAAACCGAGAATTTCCAGCCTAGTAGCATGGGGAATTATCACCTGGTGATTGTTATATCTATAGCTAGATGTATGCATAAAATTAAAAAAAAATAAAGTCTGCTTTAGGTACTTGATATCTTTAGCAATAATCTTAAACACGACCATCATTCTTGCTTAATTTGTGCCAAGTAACCTCTTTATCAATTTATTCTGAAAGATTGAGAGACGCAGTTTTAACAATCCTTATCTGAACATTTTTCTTCTCTGCTCTATTCCAATCATCCCTCTGTTTACTCTTTCCTCCTCTTTTTTTATTTATTTATTCTTTGGGTGTTATCCATAATAAAAGAGCGATGTATAGATAGGCTGATTCTGTTTGTGAGTTGCAGGAGTTGATAACTATATTTTAATTAAGAGGTCGTCATGCTGCCAGAAGCCATACTTCAACCCTTGAAGGAGGGAAGTGCATACATTTTGTAGAGGAAAAGGGTGTTATATATTTGCTGCTGGTTGGTATTTTATAGCTCTTGAACCAATTCTGACACTTCATAAATGATGTGGGTGGCTCATGCTGTTACCAAAACAAGCCAAAAGTTGGCCTTGGAGATGGTAGGGAATCCATGGCAGATACAGGTAAATCCTCGACTTACAACAGTTCATTTTGTGGCCATAAGTTGAGGACTACCCGTATTCCAAAAAATAAGGGGCAGTGGACACAGAGGCACAGTTCTTCTCTTTAAAAAAAAAAAGAGATTACATTTGTTGGAAGAATTATCCTTCTGGGTTCAGTTCCAAGTGGGGAAGAAAGACACTGGAAACATGGTGGCTGCTTGGAAAGATGGTTTGATGGTAGACAGGATCACATCCCTTGGGTGTAGAAAGAAGGAAGGAGATGCTGAGAGTCCCTGA